ACAGGTGCTGCAGGATCCCTGCAGATTCGTTTTTGGCAGTAAGGTACGATTTTATGATTTTATTCTGTTTGCAAACATGGAGTAACATAGTTCGTCTCCACCAGATGCATTTATTCACCTGTGGGTTTTATGACTGGGGGGGGAATATTACATTTAAATATAATGGTCCTAGTATAATGACAGTCCAAAACAGTTCCTCTGTAATATTTTCCAGGATAATTAATTCTTCATTTACAGTTTCTCCAATTTCTACTGTCTTGTTTTTTTTCTGTAGTGTTTTTTATTGTTTTAGATGGCTTATAGGTGTGAAATTCAATAAAATGTATTTATAAAACCAAACCAACACCATCATTTTCTCAGTAGTGTCTTTGCTTACAGAAGTTGCCCTATTGCTGGGCATTCTGCAATAAAAGTTGCATGACTCCCATGGAAACAGCTCAGCTCCTCATCAGGCTGCAAAGGAGCTGAACTGCTGGTTGCAAAGTGCTTTGCTCCACTCTAGCAAGCTCACCTCTGGATCTTTAATGAGCCCTACAGCCCAACTCCTCCCCCTAAGCTATAGGATCCTCCCCTAAGCTATAGGATCCATTTCCAAGTGTGCATCCCACTACTATCTATCAAATTGAGGAATGGTATGAGAACTATTTTCAAAGATCTGAAGAGCTGCCACATGGAAGAAGGAGCGAGCTGGTTTGCTGCTGCTCTGGAGGGGAGGACTGGAACCAGTGGATTCAAAGGAAAGGAGAAAGGGGATTTTGAATAAACAGCAGGAAGAACCAGGGCCCCCTTTTTTGGCCAGAACTCACTGGAACTCGATTTTGGACAGGGCTGGGTGATATCTGGTTTTCAACGTTGTGATATATCACCACATACGCATGCATGCATCATGATTCATGATATATTGCCAGGTCAAAAATGATGAAACCAATATCACGATATGGACTTCACACTGGTTTTGCACAATATATCGCCTAGTTCTGGCACCTCTCAGGTGAACACCATTGCCAATATAAGGGTGGCATTCATGGTGAGTTTGAGTACCTCTTTTTCTAGAAAAATAGCACTGGGAAGAACAGTTTGGTGTTAAGAGCTATTGGACAGTAGACCGGGCTCTTTTGGAAGGTAGTGGAATTTCCATCATTGGAGGTTTTCCCACAGAGGCTGGATGGCCACCTGTCAGAGATCTTTAGCCATGATGCACTGCAAAGAGTTGAACCAGAAAACTCTTAGGTTCTGTGCTTCTAATAATAAACAGTCACACCTGCCAAGATGCACTCACTTTGCCCCTCTGCACAGGCTCAGAGACACTCAATTTGTGTTTGCTCGGGTTGCTCAAGGGAAAGTAGGTTCCAGACCGTACGTCTCCAGGAGGAAAAAGCACAAGAAATGTTCCTTTAAAAAGTTATTTATTAGTCAGGTTTTATTTAATTCTTTTTTTCCCGGAAAGCGGTTTACTGTTCCTCTTTATAAAAAGTGTCCCATCCCAGTTACATCGAAGTGATTAAACATGAAGAGTCGTGGAGCAGGTCGGCCACGGTCCCGTGGGGAGGGGCGGGGGACCCCCAGGACGGCCTCTTTGCTCGGACCTGGACGGTGTGGCCTCTGGCTCTCTTGCTTGAAAGGCCGGATGTGGCCTGGGCTGTGCTAATCCGCTGCGGCCCTGACAGGCAGCAGCTGGAGGATTAAGGTTAATCCTGTTGGCACCGACCCCCCAGCCCGGCCTGCTCCCCCTCCCCTGCCGATACGCAGGCAGTGTGCCAGGGGAGGGGCTCCCATGGCAACCCAGTTGCATTCTCCCCCCAGAAAAACTGGAGCCTGGAGAGAGAGAGGGGGGGTGTAGACTGGGAAAGGGAGTGGGGCCAACTGGCCAGTGTGACTACTGACCCCCCCCACAGGGCTCAGGAGTGGGCTAAAGTGCTCGGGCATCTTCCCCCCCTCCTCCGAAAGCGGCCCTCCTCGGCCGCAGCACCAAAGAGGCCCCCCCACCGCCCAGGAAGTGGGCGGCTGGGTGTAGCACCAGTGAGAGAGGGAGGAGGGCTGTTTGGGGTCTGTGGGGCAGAAAGGCACAGGGCGGCGGTGACGATGGCGGTGGTGGTGGAATCTGCTTTTCTCGGGGTGAGGGGGTACATTCGAGACCAGGCAGTAGCACCAAAGTTCATGAGGTGAATGGTAGGCAGTCTGTCAGGGCTACTTCCTCTTGCGGCCTGCAAGGTGTGGGGAGAGGAGAAGAGGAAGAGCATCAGTGCTGACACATGCCTTACTCACATCCCAGCTGCCTTTGAACTATTTGTATTATTTATTTGTAAAAAATAGTAATAATAATATTACCAGTATACTGCAACATCAGAAAAATATATATGTCAAAGCAGTTTACAGCAGTGAAACCATAAAGCCATTCAAAAAGTTTAAAACAGACGTTGTGGGAGTATGTGTTCTGAATTGCCTCACTAGGTTTGGCGGAATTGAAAAGCGTTCAGCGCTTGCTGAAACTCCAGTGGTGGAGAGTTCCACAGGACTGGGTTGATGGCATTAAAGGACATCTGTGGGAGTGATGCCTCGGGGGCTTCCATTTCACCCTGCCTCGTAGGTGGGCTGGCCTTGAGGCACCTGGAGCACACCAGAACTGGTGGATGGGTTCATATGGACTAGCTCCTTTGCTACCAGTGGTGTCCTTATTTAACCATCTTCTGGGCTGCTGTCAGGGCAAACTGTATTTCAGTTGTTGGTTCTAAAACTACTTTGCTTTTATTACCTTGTAATTTATAATTTTTTTAAAAATAATAATGTTGCAAGCCACCCTGAATCCCACCTTCTGAGAAAGGCATGATAAACACATTAAAATAAAATACAACAACAATAGGAGGAGGAGGACACTGTGTGTCCGGGGGGCATTTTTCATGGGTGGCTCACAGGTAGGGATAGTGGAAGATTCTGATGGACTGGAAAACAGCACCCCAAATTGTGTCCATTTGTGTGCTGATTCTCAGCTTGGGGTGGAATTCAGGCAAGTGAACTTGTTGGTACTTGCTGTCATCATTTAAGACCGCAAACATAACGTGATTGGTGGCCATTCTCCTGGCCCGCCTGCCCCTTTGAAAAAAATAGCCAGACCAACAGAATTTGCCCTTCGACCTCCTGTTCCCATTAGCAGCCCACCGGAGGCCTATGAGACCCTCCCCGTACAGGCGAGGCCTGATTGGAAGAAGCTCTCCCCACCCCACCCTGGCACTAAGCTAGAGCCTGGCACTCAGAGGTAGACTGCCTTTGAACCTGGAGGCTCTTGGAACAAGACAGAAACAGTTTGAAAGTGGACTGCTTCTGGGTTGGGGTGCGACTTACCTCTGTAGCCATACGGCTTGGGAGGTTTGCCTGTGGAGAAGCAAGGGAGAAACACAGGGTGAGGTCACTCAAGGCAAGCAATATCTCCTGGATTCACCCTCGACCCCCCAGCCAGCCAGCCAGCCAGCAAAAATCAGTGCACTTACCACCATAGCCCAGCTGGCCAGGGACTCCACCTGCAAGCCCAAACCAGGCAGGAAAGCTGGTTAGCAACACAGAGCAGCCAGCAGCCCCCTCCCACCCCACATTCTGAACTGTGTGTGTGTGTTTGGGTGAGGGGTGCATGGCAAAGGTCACAGTGGGCCTCAGCGAAAGAGAAGCGGGGAAACTGATGCATTGCAGGGGGCTTGACTAGATGACTGTACTGTTCCAGGATTCTATGGAAACACCTAAGCATCTTGTTATATTTCCTTGTATTCAGATCATTACTATGGGACTCCTATCCCTGAGCATAAGAACATACAAAGAGCCCTGTAGCTGGATCAGGCCAAAGGAGGCCCATCTGGTCCAGCACCTCCTTCTCACAGTGGCCAGCCAGGTGCCTGATATGAGAAACCCCCAAGGAGGTGTCAAGGCAGGAGTAGGGAACAAGTCAGCAATAACTCACAAGGTGTCCGTGAAGTTAACTCTTTATTCAAAGGAATTGAACAGCTCTGGCCTAGTGAGCACAACAGCTGTTCCTAATAGAGCTTGCCCCAATGAGGCAGTTGTGAGGACTGAAGGTCCCCGCCTTCCCACAGCTGCCTAAGTTCTTTCCAAGCGATCTGAGGCTTTGTCGTCTTCCCCGTATTTCCTCCGCCCTCTTCATACCTCTTCTGGTTCTGGGAGACCAGTGGGGAGGGGAACTGGTCACAGCAGGAGGGGGAGACTCCCTGGCTTCTTCAGCAGCCTGCCTCATCTCTGCCTCTTGGTCCCCACCTCTGCTTCTGCCTCTTAGTCTGGACTGCTCTCTGCCACAGCCTGTTCCTGCTCACTAAACCCTGTTACCTCCTCAGCCCGACACCTCCTTCTCCTCATCTGCTCCCTCTTCTCCCTCTGACCCACCACCAATCCCCTGGCTCTGAGACGTCTTCCCTTGGGGGTTCCCCCGCTGGTGCCTTGCACCACTCCTCTGCATCCAGCGAGTCCGTGACAGCAGAATTCGAACACAAGAGCCCTCTCGTCTCCTGTGGTCTCCAGCAATTGATATCCAGAAGCTCTGCTGCCTCCAACCATGAAGGCAAAACAAAGCCATCGTGGCTAGTAGCCATTGTTAGTCCCCCCCTCCATGAATGGACCAAGCATCTTTCAAAACCATCCAAGCTGGCGGCCATCACTACCTCCTGTGGGAGCAAGGCATCTTACACTTGCTGGTTTCCTGCAGACATCAGGTTGGCCACTGTGGAGACAGGATGCTAGACTAGATGGGTCATTGGCCTGATCCAACGGGCTCTTAGATTCTTAAGTTCTTATGAACTGGTACCAGTGACAGGGTGTAAGGTGTACCTTATGAGGGAGATACCTCACTGAAGACCACCTGCTTGCCCCCAAATTGACTGCTCCCCTGGTCTGTTTCAGCTCCTTTGTGGGTGTCACCCATCATTAGGCCACTGCTTTCTCCCTGCACCCGGGTTTTTCAGGAACTGAACTCACCCCCCCCCCGCCCCTATTAACATACCTGGGTAAATAGGAGACAAACCATAACCATAGCCAGCTCCGCCCGCTACAATGGAGAAAAGATGGGTGGGAGAGAGAGAGTCAGAAAAGCTTCAATATTGCAGGAATTCCACAAGCCTGGTTCATAGAGTTGGTCTAGTCCACCACTACTACTACTCCTCCTCCTCCTCCTCCTCCTCCTCCTCCTCCTCTTCTTCTTCTTCTTCTTCTTCTTCTTCTTCTTCTTCTTCTTCTTCCCCTACCCATCTGTCCCCTCTCATCAGCTGGGTGGAATCAGTTCACACATTCCTATACAGCTCGGGGCCAGGCTACCAGAAAGATAGAATGCTCTGAGCCTGGGTGCTCAGATCTCTTGGTCCCATCAACATCAGAGGCACTGAGAGACAGGGCCTTTTCTGTGGCTGCTCCCAGATTGTGGGATCCCCACCCAGGAGAGGTCTGTCTGGCTCCCTCCTTGTTATCCTTCCGCCAGCAGGCTAAGGCCTTCCTGCTTCGACAGAGCTTTGGAAACGGAGAGGCAGGCGATGCTGGCCAACTGGGTTGCTGGCAGGGCAAAATGGATTTTAATGGCCCGTTCTAAATGGGTTCTGAGATCTGTTTTTAATTATTGTTTGTAAGCCACCTTGAGCTCCTTGGAGAAAGGAGTGGCATATAAATGCATTAAATAATAATATAAATACATAAATATATAAGAAGGTTGGTGACCCCTAATAAAGGTGCTTAAAATAAAAATGAGTTAACCTTATTTCTTACCTGTTCTAGAGAACGAGTGGAAGTCTTACTATTGATACTAATGTAGCTGCTGAGTTTTGGTGTTATTTTTAATTTTAATTCTGTTACATAACTTGTTACAACATTATTGTTTTATCAAACCATCAGAGATGTAGTTTGGGGGGGGTCCTCTATTTTATTTTCTCTTTCTGCTGAAAAGCTCTATTTAACATCATTTAGACTTAGCATTTTTTGAATGACAATGTAAATTAAGATAGCTTCCCCTTTTAATCTATTCATGGTACTTTACAGTTTTTTGTGAGTTTCTCGCCTCACTAAGCTGCTCCTGTTCTGCTTCATATGTCATTTTTCTTTTGTTTATTTATTTCCCTTTCTTTCTTTTTTCTTGACAAGCAAGCATGTTGGATGTCTAATGATCTTGGCTACAAAGCATAATAATGTAAGATTAGGTGTGTTGTTGTTTTTTTAAAAAAAGACTTAGCATTTTTATTGAAACCAAATTTGTCTCGCAGTGTCAGCATTATTGAACTTTGTTCTATAATTTCTCTCTCTCTCTCTCTCTCTCTCTCTCTCTCTCTCTCTCACACACACACACACACACACACACATGCACACACACACTATAATAAAGGGAATTTAGTTCATCAACTCACCAACTTGTGGAATGCCAGCACCATAACCTGTGACAGAAATAAGAAGACATTTGATCAGAATAGATGTTGTTGAGGGAGGTCAAATTGGGGTGTGTATCACACAACTCTGGCAACGCCCTGTTCAATATCGCAATACACTGAAAGTCTGAAATGTACTTGTCCAGATTCAATGTTGCATCCTTAGGGCAGTTGAAGGCTTTTTTTGGGTGGGGGGTCCTTCTATGAAATCCCAAGACTTCGGTCAAACATACAATCCCAATTTTTTTCCCCCATGGGGGTAGGAACCTCCATTAGGGTAAATTTGTCCTTTATGAGTAGGGGGTAGGAACCTCCATTAGGGTAAATTTGTCCTTCACATAATGGGTGAAGAGTTTTAATCCATTTTTAGTCTGTTGTTATTTTAACTTTCCAGGTGCCTTAAATCATTCTTGCCATTTTTTCTTATCAATAACTTTATTGTTTTAGCTCTTTTGTACACAGCCTTGAGGGGTTTTTTGTGTGTGTGTGTGTGTGTGTGTATACAATCATGTGGTATATAAATTTTATGAAATGATACGAAACAAATAAGAAGGCTTTTCAGCCCGGGGGCCGTGTTGCCTCATGAGCAAATTTGTGAGGGCCGCTCCCAGTGGTGGGCAGAGCCAAAGGCAGAAAGGGGTGGGGCTACAGATGTTAGGGTTGCCATTTTATGCCTGGCTGTCTCCCAGTCATTTGAAAGTCAGATATTTATACACACATTTCCTCTATTCCAGGCAAGCGAAGAGGCTTTATGACCTTCCAAGGACACATTCCAGCCAGGCACCGACACTCAAGGAGGGTGCAGGGCAGGGCAAGGAGGGGCGTGGCCTGGGGCCAGTCCTAAGAGGTATGGGGGCCGCATTTGAGGTCCCCAATCTCTGCCTTGAACCTTGGAGCAATCTGGAGAGTTCTGAGGGAAACTGAGCTCTGCCACTCGCCTTCCGCCATTACCCAACTCCACCACGTGGTCCCATTTTGCTCATACCTGGTTTGGGAGGTTTGCCACCGGCTCCTGGGTACGTCAGCCCTGTGCAAGAGAGCGTGAGGGGAAATTAGAAGCTTGTCCTGGAAGTCAGGCTTGCGGCCTGCTGACCTCAAGGAAGCAGTGAGGCTGCCTCAGAGGGCATGGGCAGGCTAGGGGAGCTGGAGGCAGGGCCCCCAAAATAGGACTGTAGGAAGCAGATTGGGGCTGTAACATTTGTGGTATATCCAGTACTATTTGGGGGGGGGGGTAAGAAAAATGTGGTGCCGGTACTTCTATATTGAGAATGGTGTCGTAGGTACCAGTACAAAATGCCAATGGGCTGCCCCAAAAGAGGCAAATAGCTTTTGGTATTCATCTTCCTCCATGACGAGAGCTTCATTCTCCTGCTTTGTCATAATTCTGACTCAGACTCTGGCTCAGGGGTGGTGAGCAGGGGAGGGGAAACAGGGGTGAGGATGAGGAGTAGCTACAACGAATAGTTGCTAAAAACAGGGAGTAGCTACAACAGGGTGTAACTACAACAGTTAGCAGATCCCACTGCCTGCTTCCTTGCAGGCTCTGGCTGGTAGCAACGACAAAGCAGAGGGTCAACTCACTGTGGCCACCGTTGGGTAAGGCCACCGAGACATCTTGCAAAGTCCCCTCACACCACCCCCAAATTCAGAGCACAACATTGGGGGCTTCCTTCCCAGTGCTCTGGCTGAACAATCTCTACGCACCTCCAGCTCCAGCTCCACCAAGGCCCGCTCCCCCTGCGCCGGGGACCCCATATCCTCCTCGTCCACCGTAGCCTGCCGGAAAAAGTGGCTCAGTCATAAACCCACCCTCATGGTTCATACTCTATATGTGGAGAACCCATAGAGTAAATAAAGGAAGATGGAGGATACTGAAGTTATTCAGCCCATGACTGCTTGGAATGCTCCCAAGCCCCACAGCCCAGCCCCCAAGTGATTTCGGATGTGTAGCCAGGACAAGGGATGAGCCATGGAGCTGTCCATCTTGTCCCAAAGAATGCCCTGTCTTGTGTGGAGGCCCCTCTTCTCCCCTCCCTCCCCTTGGGTCTGCAGCATCGTACCTGGTACGCCAAAGCCACCCAGCCCAGCTCCTGGAACACCTGTTGGGGTGAGAAAAAGCGAGTCTCGGTTTATCAAAGGCATTTCTCCCCACTGCCGACCAGACACTTCCCATGTCTCCCAGTTCTTCAACTCATAAGAAGCGTCTGCCGGATCAGGTCCATCCAGCCCAGCATCCTGTTCTCACAGTGGCCAACCAGATGCCTCTTATGGGAAACAGGAGCACATGAGCCCTCTTCCCCTGCTCCCCGCAAAGACTTCCAGTGACTGGTATCAGGAAGCTTTGCTGCCTCTAACTGTGGAGGCAGAGCATGGCCATCGTGACTTGTACCCATCCATAGCCCCCTCCTCCTCCATGAATTGACCCAATCCTAAAGCTCTCTAGTTTGGTGACCATCACTGCCTCTTGTGGTGGTGGGGAGTTCCACAGTTTAACTCTGTGCTGCGTGAAGATGGGCTTCCTTTTATCAACAGATAGCTAGATCTCCTGTGACTATTTTGTTTTTGTTTTTTTGGGTGAGGTGTGGGCAGGTGAGTGGATAGGCAGAACTTCCAGTACTATCATTATGATTATTATTACTTACGTCTTGCCCATTTCCCTGACAGGGACTCATACGTACCATATTTAGGTGGCTTGGCCCCTGGTTGCAGTCCAGTTTGGGGGATTCCTGTGAGATAAGGAGAAGCAATCTGTGTCAGAGCCCCAATGGCCAGGGATCTCTTCTGGTGCACAGCAAAACTGGACTGGGAATCTTGTCCAGTGCCAATTCCCCAAGATCTGAGGATGAGGAGTAGCTGAGGGGTCCCTTACCTGCTCCAGGAACACCTGGCACAACGCCTCCCCCTGGCAAGACGCCTGTTCCGCCCCCTGGCAAGACACCCGTTCCACCGCCAGGAAAGACACCTGCCCCACGACCTACAAAGAGGTTGGAATTAGGGGCGAAATTTGACCACATTCCACCACCACCACCACCACCCATTTAGCTGTGAATTCTGCACTGCGGGGAAGAGGGGGGATGGACCAAATGGCCTTTGGAGTCCCCTTCCAACTTTATAATCCTATGATTCTCTGCTCCATTATGACTGGGCCAGTTCAAGAAACCTAGGAACTGTGCTTTGTTAAGGGTGCGAGGAACTGTAGTTCTGTGAGGGGCAAACTACAGTTCTCAGGATTCTCCAGGTGGGAATGTGTTCTGAAGGTGTTTTAAATGAACGGTGAGCACACAACTACGGCCTCATGCCCCAGAAAGTTTACAATCCGAATCGTGGCAATGTGGGATGCTTCGGAGATGATCTCATGTTTTTGCATCTGGGGAAAAGCTCGCTGGCTGGCACTATGGGGCAGTGGGCCAGGATGTGCAGAGGGCATAGGCGCCGACTCCATGGGGCTTGAGGGGGCCCGAGCCCCCTCAAAAATTCGTTTGGGGGGGGCTCCGCCCCCCCAATAATCTCCGGCGCCCCTCCAGCAGAGCGCCATCACCGCCCCTCCCCCAGCCCAAAATGCACAGGGAGGGGCGGGCTGCATGCCTCCTGCCCTCCCTCCCGAGCAAAAGCTCCACCCAATTTCCTTTGGAGCTGATTAATAGGCGCAGCACGCTCTCCCCTATTCGCTCACGAGGAGGCGGCGCCACTTTATTTGCATATTCATGAGCTTATTTATTATTCATGAGCTTTCCCGGGCCCCCCAATATTTTTATAAGTCCGCGTCCCTGGCAGAGGGGCAGGGAAGGACTGGATTAGGCAGGGGATATGAGATCAGGATGGACGCAATGGGGACTCACCGTATTTAGCTGCCTTTGCTGCTGCTTTAGCTGCCGCTGCTCCCCAGGAACTAGCGGAAGAACAGAAGGAGTCAGGATGAGGGCCAAACCCATTGGGACACCACGACACAAGAACTAAGATGACCCTAGCCCAGCTTCCTGTTTCCACAGTGGCCAGTCAGATGCCCCCATGGGAAGCCCTCCAGCGGGATCTGAGCACAAGAGCCCTCTCCCCTCCTGCGGTTTCCAGCAATTTGTCAGGGGGCTGACAGAAAGATCCGGTCATTCACAGGTCAGAAGGGGAGACATGAGGCTAACGTGCAGTTAGTTTTATTATTAAGGAAAGGGGGGGGATACAAGGAGGCTCATAAAGGCAAACCGCCGCCCCCCCATGAAGAAGTTGCTTGAACTGGTGTGCTGCCCCTCCATCACTATCTAGCCCTCCGAGTCAGGGCTCCTCCCTTGCAATCTTCTGCTACAGCAAGCCCCAGGAGCCTCTCTCTGTGCCTGCCTAGCCTGTTGCTCAGCAATACGCAACATCCTTCACGTTCTAGGAGTAAGTGGGGCCAGAGAGCCATCAGCAGAGAGGCTGGCATGATGGAGCTGTGGGAGAGATGCAGGGTCTGGCTCTCCTCTGTCGTAGCCTTCATCCAAACTGGGAACCTCATCCCCCTGCCCTGTGCTGGGCCACCAGCCTGCTTCTGCCTCTTCACGATACCTCAAGCTTCCTGCTTCTAGTATCTCCCACCTTGTCCCCTCCTCTGAGTTGCGGCCAGTATCCTGCCACCAGGACTGAGGATCTAAGTCATCTTCTTCTCTGCCTTCCTTGGGGGCTCTTGGGCAAGTGGCTTCCACCACTCTGCCTCATCCACCCAGTCCCTGACACAACTTGAGATGTGCAGTCAGCTAGTATGCATTGCTTTAAGAAGTTAAAAGCAGCAGCTGTGTACAACCATCTAAACTGGGGCTGCTGCTGCTGCTGAGGAAAGAAATTTGTTTTCATTTAAAAAACCCTCATCCTTATTTTGGCTTCCCACGAGCATCTCTCTGGGTTGGCTCACATTCATTTTGTGTTGTGAACTGCTCAGGAAGCTCCTGCCCTGCACGGAGCCACCTGGAAATCTCCATGCCCCAAATAAAACAAGATAATATTATAAGTTGCTGGCACTTAATGGCTGCTTACCGCCACCAACGCCAACACCGCCAACGCCACCGACTCCACCAACGCCGCCGACACCACCAACGCCGCCGACACCGCCAACAACGCCGCCGACACCGCCAATGCCGCCAACGCCTCTTCCTGCTCCTGTTGGAGCAAGGCACACTTTTGGAAAATGCTCCTGAGCCCCACCACACCCTGAGAACAGCACCTGGGTGGAGGCAAAGTCCTCAGAGGAAAACATTTAGATCAAAACTAGGAGAGGGTATTGCAGGCTCCCTGCTCAGACTGCTCACTTCCTAATGCCAGTTGCATTCGTACTGATGTTTTCTGTGTCTTCTTGAAATGAGGCTACATCATCAAAAGGGGGAAGGGCCTGCCCCAGTGGTGTCCATCAGGATTGGTAGGGCAGAAGGCAGGGAGCCTACCAGTAGGTGGCGCTAGAGCCAATGACGGGTGGAGCCAACGCCTGGTTTTCTCCTCCTCCTCCCTACAATGGAGGAGGAGGAGGAGGAGGAAGCTGATAGGCAGAGCCATCTGATGGAGTGGTTGTAATTGAAGAAGGCAGGCAGGGTGGGGGCTGGCTGAGGGCAGTGGGGCAGCACCCTCTTCGTCCTAATAGACCAACCTCCACGAGCATCTCTGTCTGTGTCTCCAGAGTGTCAATATTTTTTATGACAGGAATCCAAGAGCGTCATGCAAATTTACGTTTGTGCACAAGCTGCTATTTGCAAGGCTAAAGAAAAACTGATCCGCATCTCCTTTGCCATCCTTATCTCCTGTTCTGGTTGGAAGTCTTGATATTTATTTATTTTCTACATTAATATCTCACCTTTCCTGCAAGGAGTTCAAAGCGGCATTCATGGTTCTTTCCCTTCTCATTTAATCCCCACAAACAACCCAGTGAGGCAGATCAGGCTGAGAGACTGTGGCTGGCCCAAGGTCACCCAGTGAGCTTCCACCACCAACAAGGATTTGAACCCTCGTCTCCCAGGTCCCAGTTGGACACTCTAACCACTACACACCACAGTGGCCCTCCTTACCATATTTGGCTGCTTTGGCGGCTGCTTTTGCTGCTGCTTGAGCTGCCACGGGGCTTCCTGGCACTGAGAATTGAGAGAGAGAGAGAGAGAGAGAGAGAGAGAGAGAGAGAGAGAGAGAAGTGTCAGCAGGACCACCTGCACCAGGTCTGATGGCAGTGGTTGACCACCTTGGCCACTAGCCAAAGCTCTTCCCCAGCCCAGCCCATCTACCATTCTCCTCCCGTCCTTCCAGGACCCTGGATGCTTTTGAGCAGTGGGTGGTGCGCACTCATAGTAGAGACCCTTTTCATCCAGTTGTGAAAGCCTGCCAGGAACCTTCCCCCCCCACCACCACAACTGCCTCACTTCTCCCATTGTCTTCAGGAAATGCAGAGAGCGGGTGTCTGTCACATCTTGATGTTGTTCCACAGAGCAGGAGCAGCCTCCATGTTATTGCAAAGACCAAGGTTTCGGGACGAGCCGCTCTGTTGCCTTGAGAAGGCATTGACTTCCCACAGAGGGGGGAACCTACCTAACCCACCAGGTGCGACTCCACCAGGTACAACTCCACCAGGTGCGACTCCACCAGGTACGACTCTACCAGGTGCCACACCACCAATGGCGCCATAGCCAGGCACCACACCAGCCCCTGCAGGAAATGACAAACAAGAGGTCAGATTAGCCATTTGCAGCAAACCTTCAAATACCTGAAGTGCCGCCCCCTGGGAGATGGAGCCAGCTTGTTTTCTGCTGCTCCAGAGGCGAGGTCCTGAACCAGTGGATTCGAATGATAAGAAAGGAGATTCTGACTCAACATTAGGAAAAACTTTCTGAGGGTTAGAGCTGTTTGACAGTGGAACGGACTCCCTTGGAAGGTGGTGGACTCTGAAGCACTGAAGAGGTTTTTAAACAGAGGTTGGATGGCCGCCTATCAGGGATTCTTGTGCTGTGATTCCTGCCTTGCAGGGAATTGGACTAGGTGGCCCCTGTGGGTCACTTGCAATTCTACAATTCTGTGAATCCATCGAGACCTGCTGCTCCTGGCTTTGTCTAGCCTGGCATGGTTAGCGGGGCCTTCATACCCTCCTCAATAGCTTTTTGCCTGGCTGGGCCCTTGGCAATGCACGTTTGCTTTCCCCCACATGGAGGACAGAGAGGGCTGTGTGAGAGTGTGTAGAAACTAGCAAAAATCTACATGTGTTGCCCTGCCCATTTCTATTTATTCACTTATTTCATAAGATTTATACACTGCTTGATTGTAAAAAACAAACACAAAAGCCAAAAGCCAACCATCAGAGCGGCTTACAAAAAAGGAAAAACAGTAAAATTATCTCTAAGGAAATCAAGGGTTTCAAAAAGTTAAAATAATAATAAAGGTAAGGGGACCCCTGACCATTAGGTCCAGTCGTGACCGACTCTGGGGTTGCGGCGCTCATCTCGCTTTATTGGCCGAGGGAGCCGGCGTACAGCTTCCGGGTCATGTGGCCAGCATAACTAAGCCGCTTCTGGCAAACGAGAGCAGCACACAGAAATGCCGTTTACCTTCCTGCCAGAGCGGTACCTATTTATCTACTTTGACATGCTTCCGAACTGCTAGGTGGGCAGGAGCAGGGACCGAGCAACGGGAGCTCACCCCGTCGCGGGGATTAGAACCGCCAACCTTGTGATCGGCAAGTCCTAGGCTCTGTGGTTTAACCCACCACAGAAAAGGACTAAAACTTTCAGATTGAAACCTTTGCCTCTGGCCCTGCCTACCTCTGGCATACGAATCCCTCCGAAAGTTTCCTGAAACAGAAGGGCTGAAAAACTTCCTTGCTCCTGCTCTAGACCAGGCATAGGCAAACTCGGCCCTTCATATGTTTTAGGATTACAGCTCCCATCATCCCTGACCACTGGTCCTGTTTGCCTATGACTGCTCTAGACTTTATGGGTTTTCCATAATATATTAAGTGGCATCAGGTGGTCTGTCCGGAGTGCTGCTTTCATAATCGCCTGATTTTCTTAAACAGTTGAGCCCATGTTCTGTTTCCCTAAAGAGATCTTTCTATTCCTTCCTGCCTTGAGTTGGCCTGCCCTGATTTATCCAGCAGCCTCAATGCTGTTGGGACAGGATGAGGATGCTCAGCTTACCGTAGGCGGCTGCCTTTGCCGCTGCCTTTGCTGCCGCTGCTGCAGACACTCCAGCTCCTGTTGGCAGAGACAAAAATGAGTCAAGGGGCTAGCCAGCCACGGCACCCATGCACTCCTGGAGCTACCTTGTCTATTTCATTTATGCACTGCTTGGTTTTAAAAACAGAACCCTAAAGTGATTTACAAAGCGAGTCAAACAACAGAATTATCAGTAAAAACAACCCTTTAATTAAGTTGCTGAATATTTCTGATGATACCAATGTAGATACAGTGCCAAAAGAATTGGTCTTACTTATGGCCTTGGCAACCTGAATAGGAATCACAATGGGGGGACGGGACCCAAAATCTTATACTGGACGCTTGGTACCACTCACTCTGGAATATAGCTATAATGGGGGAAATTAAGCACATTGTAGATTTCCACAGGGGCTAGCACACCCAGGTGGTTTTAATATGATTTGCCATTCCTTTATTATATATACAGCGAAACCATCATTTTCAAGGCAGCCCACATCAGAAATCTGGAACTATGCTATCATATAACGCTGATATTATTTACTTGTAACTTGCTTTCTTTTCACCTGTGTGCAACTGCACTCATTCTGTGTGTCTGTCTTGTAGTTTCTCCTTTCAATTTTCATCTTTCGATATCATTGTTCTGTTTTATATACATTATAAAAATGAAATTAAAAAAAACTTTACCAACACCCTCTACAACTCTTTTAAAACTTCAAAAGATAACATCTGCAATATGCTAAAAAAAAGTATTAAAAGACACAGCAGATTTCTACATGTCTGCGCAGGCGTGCTTGAACAAAAGATGTTTTTAGCAGGCACTGAAAAGAGTGCAGCCAAGGTGCTTGCCTGGTGTCAAAAGGCAGGGAGTTCCCAAGTGTAGGTGCTGCCATGCTAAAAATGAATTTTCTTGCAAACACGTAATGGGTATTATGTGGCACTTGCAGCAGTGCCAGTTCTGCAAATCAAAGTGATCTTGCAGGTAAACTGGTCCCATGTTGTTACCTTCTCATGTAAACGCACCTGGAACAGCAACTCCAGCACCGGGAACTCCACCGACACCAGCACCAGGAACGCCACCAACTCCAGCGCCAGGAACTCCACCAACACCAGCACCAGGAACTCCACCAACACCAGCACCAGGAACTCCACCAACGCCAGCACCAGGAATAAGACCTGAGACAGAAGAAATGAATATGAGAGCCAGGCCAGTTCCAACCAGCTCATCAGATCCCCACCATTAAAAGCAGCCAAAGATCCACAAAGACCCCGGAGGTGGCTACTGCCTCTTTGAGGGACCATGCAGCTCCCTTAAAGGAGGTCATTGTTTGGCCTCTTCAGAAGATACCTGGCCTGGATCTAGCCGATTAGGGTTAAGTCCTGCCAGGGACTGAATTTGCAATTCTGGGGCAAGAGTGAGTGGCGATGTCTCCACTCCTTAACTCTTGCAGGGGGCTGGACTAAGATGACCCTGAGAGTCCCTTCCAAATCTACAATTCTATTAATCCAGGAGGTTTTGGATGACACCGATTATTTGGATCTGTTTTGGGCTGGCTGCAGTGGAAGATCTTTGCTGGAAGGCGGGCTCCCCTCCCCATCGCTGGGTAAGTGAAAAATGACGAGTAGTGGTATTTCACTGGTGACCCAAGTGGATCCCTCACCAAAACAGGAAGATAGGTCTCAGAAATAGGAGGTAAAGCAGGTACGCTTATAATTGTTTAAAATCGCTTTTTTAAATCACAGCTATCTGCCAATCACCCATTCCCACCACCCTTCTGAGTAATACCCCTCCCCACCTTCTCACTATATAGAAGGATCTGGCAACTTCTGTTTCAGTGTATCTGAAGAAGTGTGCATGCACACGAAAGCTCATACCAAGAACTAACTTAGTTGGTCTTTAAGGTGCTACTGGAAGGAATTTTTTTTGTTTTGACTATGGCAGACCAACACGGCTACCTATCTGTAACTGGAACTATTCTTCGCCTCTGAGACATGAAACTCGAAATGGACACAAGGATGTTAAGGGGGTTGCCTGGTGTGCCCAGTGCTATGGAGTCCACTTGAGGCAGGATCTCTCCATGCCCACCATCTCAAACCCCAGCAAAAACTGTGACTCAACAACTCAGGATCTTACCATACTTTGCTGCTTTTGCCGCTGCGGCGGGACTCACTCCTGCCAAAGAGAAAACAGGAAGATAGGTCTCAGAAATAGGAGGTAAAGCAGGTACGCTTATAATTGTTTAAAATAGCTTTTGACATTGTGCTTCAATGCTGTAACCTGCCCTGGGACCTTAGGGTGAAGAGCAGGAAATGAATTAAGAATCATGATTTATACGCACAGTTATTCTGGTATGTGCATTTTTGTACACGTAACTCGGCTGAAGAAATGCACTGCAAACGCCAGAGGAATGCAAATTTTAAAGGATGGGGGTCTGTGTTTCGTAAGTCACAAAAAGCAGATTACGAATGTGCAAACAGGATCAAATCCCTCCAATTTGGCTTCACCTTCCTCATCTGTCCCCCCCACCAATCCTCTGTGACACATACCTCCTACCCCAGTTCCTCCTGGGCCGACTCCAATAACACCAGGTGTGGCGCCAGGAACTACGCCACCTGGCCCAACCCCTGGGACACCAGCGCCACCGATGCCCGTCCCTGGAACTCGGCCACCTGGGGAAAGAGAGAGGAGAGGAGAGTAAAAAATTGCCAGAAACACAGCTGGCCTCTGGAATGGTGTTGGGGAGTCGCACCCTGGATAAAATCAATCCATTTTGTTGAATTAATTAAACTAAATAACTTTCAATTGGATTTTGAATAAAGGCATGATTAATTGTGACTCTTTCATTGTTTTATTATATTTCTTAGGGGCTCATGCAAACCACTGTTCTGAATCATGTGTTTTTTATAGAATAGAGGGCACTGGAGATGAATTTATGGAACCAAAGAGGCAAGCCCCAAAAATGTTCGGGAACCACTGCATACCCGTCAAGTGTCCCAATTTTCCAGGGACAGTCCCGGAATGACAGAAGCCACCCCACTTTCTGATTTGATCATGGAATGTCCCTGTTTTCCATTTCCTCTCCTCCACGCCCAAGCAGCTTACAGCTACAATTCCATTCCATTCCATTGATCTGTTGAAGCGGCTGTACATGACCCCTTCCCTCACACATTTTTTCTTTACAACAATCCTGTGAGGTAAAGGTAAAGGTACCCCTGCCCGTATGGGCCAGTCTTGACAGACTCTAGGGTTGTGCGCCCATCTCACTCAAGAGGCCGGGGGCCAGCGCTGTCCGGAGACACTTCCGGGTCACGTGGCCAGCGTGACAAAGCTGCATCTGGCGAGCCAGAGCCGCACATGGAAACGCCGTTTACCTTCCCGCTGGTAAGCGGTCCCTATTTATCTACTTGCACCCGGGGGTGCTTTCGAACTGCTAGGTTGGCAGGCGCTGGGACCGAGCAACGGGAGCGCACCCCGCCGCGGGGATTCGAACCGCCGACCTTTCAATCGGCAAGCCCTAGGCACTGAGGCTTTTACCCACAGCGCCACCCACGTCCCACATCCTGTGAGGTAGGCTAGGCTTAAAGGTTGCAATTGTCTCAAGGTGACCGATGTATAGGTGTATGTGAAATATATGAGTGCAGGAGATCAAACACGGGAGAAGCCTCTTGATGTAGAATAGAATGTCCCTATTTTCATCTGAGAAATGTTGGAGGGTATGCCACTGGGTATACAGAGGTAGTTTGGGGGTGTGGAGGTCCCTATCTGTTTTAACCCATGCAAGACCTCTCTCCTGCAAGTCGCACCCAACATTCACTCAGAAGGCAGTTCAGTGGGACTTAATTCGAAGGGTGTGTGTCTAAGATATACAGCAAACCTTCACATGCCTCCCCATATGCAAATCTCACTGAGGCTTAAAGTGGAAGAATGGCCTTGAAAGAGTACATCAGTGATGTATTTCAGTTTAAACCCCAACATTTTAAATAGCCAAAGCAGCCCAATGGGCGAGATCACTGGATTCCCTTTCATAGGATTATCTATACGTGACACAAGGGGCTTTTTGCTGCTCCACAATGAATTATGATTCCTACCACCACATCAACATTTCTGGCTATATGGAAAGTGAAGGGTTAATCTGGTCTTAAATTGAGGACCCCCCCACCTGCAATCTGCAGTTCAACACCCCGTAGAATCACATGTGTGTTGTAGCCAGACTGATCCACTAGAGGGCAGCTTCCCTCTTCTGTGGGATCCCAACTCTGCTTGGGCCATAGAGCTAAAAGCATGTGGAACATCATGCAGCCTGAACTTCTGGTTTCAGCAGACCCTCCCATCGCCAGCTCCTTCGGGAATGTAGGTACCCATAAGGAATCAATGGAGTAATCTACAATTTCATTGTAGCCTATCTCTCCCACAACCCACCTCTGCAAAAAAAGATTACAGCATAAACAGTTCATGCACTTTCTAACTCGGGACTTGTGAGCAAAAACATATTTGCATATGCATCAGTTTTAACATATTTAAATCCGCCACATTTCTGCACCCAGGTCAATGGAGTGCAAGGCTTCAGAATGAAGTTGAGAGTTAGACTCAGGCTGAACCAGCCTCTGTTTCAACCTCAAGGGGTGCTTCACAGGGGGAGGGGGGGCTGAGAATCCAAACCACCACCACCCACCTCCGGGCTAAAAACAAACAGGGAGTAGCTGCAATTTCAGGGCTGTCATAAGTTGCTCTCTGCCAAAGCCCCTCAATACAAGGACGATGCCTTGCAAATGCAGGGCTAAACATAGCACAAGAACATAATAAGTGCACAGCTGGATCAAGCCAAGGGCCCACCCAGTCCAGCATCCTGTTCTCACAGTGGCCAACCTGATGCTCATTATGGGAGACCTGCAAGCAGGATTTGAACACAAGAGCCCTCTCTCCTCCTATGTTTCCAGCAACTGGAATTCAGGAGCATTGCTGCCTCTTGCTATGGAGGCAGAGCAGAGCCATCCTGGCTAGCAGCCACCAATAGCCCTCTCTTCCTCCATGAATTGGTCCAATCCTCTTTTCAAGCCCTCCAAGTTGGTGGCCACCGCTGCCTCCTGTGGGAGGGAGTTCCACAGGTTCATTTTGCGTTGCGTGAAGGACTTCCTTAATCTTGCCCCGAATCTTCCGACATTCAGATTCATTGTCGTTCTAGTGTTATTATGAGAGAGAAAGGGAAACTTCTCCGCCACTCTCTCCACGCATTGCATGATTTTAGAAACCTCTATCATGTCGCCTCTTTCTCGCCTTTTCTCTAAACTAAAAAGTCCCAAGTGCTGAAATTGTTCTTCAAAGGGGATTCGCTCCATCCCCAGTTGCCCTTTCCTCAACCTTTTCCAACTCTACACTATTCTTCTTGAGGTGAAGTGACTAGAAAAGAACACCGGATTTTGGTCTGTGGTCTTGCTGTGGAGACGAGTTACTCCAGCAACTAAAGTGCCCCAACTTCAACGCTGGAAGTTCCCTCCCCCACAATAAGCTCCAGTGTGGTGTGGATAGAGATGATCCATGAAGCTCTGGCACCCTCGCTCCTAACCAATCACAGGGCGGAAGGTTACTAAGCGCAGCAAAAGCTGGAAAAGGAGTACATTCTCTCTCTCCCTCTCTTCCTTGCAGACACACTCCAGCGAAACCTGATTCGACTGTGGCTTTTCTTCAATCCCAAAATTGCACAGTTCCCCGCTGGCCGCCTGCTTCCAATCAAAACCAGATGGTGTTCTGGGACGATCCCAGGAAAACCAGGCCAGGCCAGGCCGCTATCGCTCTCTGGAGCAGATCAGGTGCGGCTGGGTGTGCAATGCTTGAGGCCGGGGGAAGAGTTACTAAGGACTCCAAGAAAGTGTGTGTGTGTGTGTGTGTGTGTGTGTGTTTTGGGGCTCCAGCCTGACTGAGCTCACACCTTTGGAGCTGGAGTCTGTCCAGAAGATCCACCCCCAAATCAGATCTTATTCTCAGCACTCAAGAAGCACTGGCATGGATCCATTCTTGATAGTGCACTTATCCTTGCTTCTGTGCAATTGGGGCAAGATTTCTCGCCCGCCCCAAATCCAAACCGGATTCACGAATCCAAACGCAAGAGGGCGTTGAGTGGCAGGAATGAAATTTCCATTAGAAAACACGAAAAATCTGGGTTTGGGGTTCCACGTCTTTGGCAGGCCTCTTAAAGAGCAGGAGGAAAGAGATGCAATCTGGAGCGAAGCGTGGGGAGCATTGAAATCAGTGCCAGATTTACATATAGGCTAAAGAAGCTATAGCTTAGGGCCCCACTCTTCTGGGGCCCCCCAAAAAATTTAAAGGAACAAAACAACTGGATGTACATTTCCAAAATATAAGATAAAAAAACAAATAAAATAAAACCTACATACAGCAGCAGTGTTTTGTGTTGTGTAGGCTCCTATGGTGTAAGTACTGGGCACCGCCTGGTAGCCTGCTCCCTAAAATATCACTGGTTTGCTCATTTTTATATATAGGGTGCCTGCATAAAATATGTATTTTATGATAAACTACATATTTTGTTATGTGCAAATGGCTTTAGATACCTATTAGGTCCATAAATTATCATATAGCGTACATTCAACACAAAAAACACCGACAATTTGTTGTTGACAAAGGACAGCTGGACATATAAAGGGCCCCATTACCTTCAGTAGCTTAGGGACTCATCAAACCTAAATCCGGCCCTGGTTGAAATCCTTCCCCCTTTCTTCAACTCTTCCCCCTGCTATCTCACCATTGTCCACCCCACCCCACCCCACTTGCTTTTCTTCAGATGTATGCTTCATAGAAAGAGAGAGATGGAAGTAACTCTGAGGGTCATCTAGTCCACCCCCCCCGGAGTGCAGAAATCACAGCTAGCGATTCCCTGACAGGTGGCCATCCACTCTCTGCTCCAAGGCCACTAAGGAAGGAGAGTTTCCTGCTGTTATTTCACAAAAGCAGATAGAGAGTACTGTGGGTGAGATGGCAGATGGGGGAAGGGTTAAGTACCCTTCCCCCCACTCCAAACTGGACCCCTTCCCCTATCAATTTTGCACTGGCCACTAATATGCTACCAGGCCGAGTTCAAAGAGTCTGGATTAAATTAAAAGGCCCTCAACAATTTGGATACTTTAAGGACCATATATGATTCCATATATCCTTGCCCAGCCACTGAGATCTTGGGGAAAGGGGTTCTCTGTTAGTGGTTCCCCTTGGCTCAGATACCTGGCTCATAAGTTGAGCCTGTTGGACGGCTCAGTGACCCAACATAGCCCAGCATGATGCTGTCACAGTGGCCCACCAGATGCCCCAGAGGGAAGCCCATAAGCAGGACTTGAGTGCCACAGAAACTCTCCTCTCTTGTGACTCCCAACATCTGGTATTATTCAGAGGCATATTGCCTCTTACTGTGGACAGAGCCACCCTGGCTAGTAGCCATTGATATCTCTCTCCTCCACGAATTTATCCGATCCTTTCAAAAAGCTATTCAGTTTGGCCATCACTGTCTCCTGCGGAAGCGAGTTCCATAGTTTAACTCTGTGCCGCGTGAAGAAGGACTTTCTTTTCTCTGTCCTGGATCTTCCCACATGGATGCCTGTGAGTTCTAGTGTAAGGAGAGAAGGAGAACAACTTTCATAGAGAGCCACATTCTCCATTCTCCATGAGGAACTGACCGTGTGGAGCTTAGATCAGGCAAGCCGCCTCCTCCTCCCTGTTGAATTTCAGGCACTTGGCAAAGACCTTTTGATTTCAGCAGGCATTCTCAGTAAGCTCTACTGTACCTATTGACGGAACTTGCATTTCTACCTTTACGGCTTCTGTTTGTTTTAAGCACTGCAGAAATCCTGTGATTTCTGGGCTGTTTTATTGAGCAATTGGGTAAACAGCTCACCGTAAGCTGCTGCTTTGGCTGCTGCTTTGGCTGCTGCCGCCGCTGCCGCCGCTGGTCCACCTGCACCTGCAGTGGAAAAGGGTGAGAGAAACTGAGAGCCATTCCTTTCGCCTGGCCAACTTGGATGGGCTTGTTTTTGAAGAGCACAACTGCAGAATCTTTTGGCCACAACGACAGCAAAGGCACTCACCTAGCGCCTTCATCATTATCCATATCATTTATTATTATTAGTAGTATTAATTTATTAGTTGCTTTTTCTTGCTGGGGCAACTCAAGGTGACTTACAAAAACAAAGAAAAGAAGCCTCGCAGGCTGTGAAGGACTTGCTCACAAATTTATTGACAGCTGCACGAATTGTGATAGCTAGGATGTGGAAGGGGCAAACAGAATATAAAATGAAAGAATGGTATAAAGAGGTGTGGGACATAGCTATTAATGATAAATTAACATGTGCCATTAAAGTAAGAATATGCAGGAGAAATGGTTTTGAGGAGTTATGGAGGGTGTTTGTAGGATTTGTACTGTTAAAACAGAAAGGGGCCAAACCATTGCAAGAGGTGTTGAAATTTCAGGTGGTTGGATAGTTACAATGGAATGGTCTCGGCGGTGGGAGTGCACATTCTTATTCTTATTTATTTATGATTATTACTTTGTCAAAATTTAAAAAACCTAAAAGAAAGAAAAAATCAAACCCACATACATACATACATACATACCAATGTGTTTACTATTGCCCCTTTAAAGGCGTTTACTATTGCCCATTAAAAGATGCTTATCTATCACCCCTCCAAAGGCATTGACTATTAACTCTTCAAAACTGTTTGCCTATTACCTATCCAAGGTCATTTACCTATTGCTCCTGGGACACCAGCACCGGGCACCAAGCCTCCTCCAAGGGCCCCAGCGCCAGGGACTCCGATTGCCCCGGGCACAGCTCCAGCACCTTTGGAGAAAGAAAGAAAGGAAGGAAGGAAGGAAGGAAGGAAGGAAGAAAGAAAGAAAGAAAGAAAGAAAGAAAGAAAGAAAGAAAGAAAGAAAGAGGAGTGAATGAGGGCCAGCCAGAGCCTGGGCTTAAGAGAATGGCTACATATGGGGTTCCTCCAGCAAGGTGTTACTCACCATATTTGGCAGCTGCTTTTGCAGCGGCTACCTGAGCTCCCACACCTGCAAAAAGAACAAAAAGAGCTTCAGTGATGTGGCCACGTTGCTAGAATCTTCAGGACACAAAGCACAGATATCCCTTCCAGCTTACTGGCTTCAGAAATCAAGGATCCAAACCAAGTAACACACTGGAGCCAAGCCTTTTGGCAACCTGGGGAAGTTGTTTGACTCCATCAGTCTCAGCCAGCAGGGCCATTTTGGACTCCAACTCCCATCAGCCCCAGATAGCCTGGCTAGGCTGGCTGGGGCTGCTGAGAATTGTAGTTCAATGACATCTGGAGGCAACAGGTTGGCTAAGCATGTGTTGATTTCTGTCTGTTGAAATAAATAAATTAAGGTCTTATGTATATAATAAAGGTTCATAAATGTACCAAGCAAACATGTACATAGATATATAGGCCACATGCCTGAAGCTGCACAGGAGAGCAGCTATGGAGCCATTTTGACTCCCAGGCTGACCAGGTGTTTTCTCTGCAAGGTCAAATGGAGGAGCCTCCCCATTGCCTTTTCCTTCACAAATCCTGTCCTAAGGGTATATCTGTGTATGAATAGGGTGAGCCTGTGACTTGGCTCAGGAACTAAGTACCATATTTTTCGCTCTATAACACGCACCCGACCATAACACGCACATAGTTTTTAGAGGAGGAAAATCCGTAGGCATGCCACCCGTAGGCATTCCCTCCATAACACGCACAGACATTTCCCCTTACTTTTTAGGAGGAAAAAAGTGAGTGTTATGGTGCAAAAAATACAGTACTTATCATTACAAAAGACTGGCCAGGCTCTCCAGGGTATCAATCCAATAAACATTAACAGGTAACTTGCCAGACAGGAGTTAAACAACCCACTCAGATGATGAGGTAAACAACCTACTCAGATTTCTGCTTTAGCCCGCCCTTTCTGTGATGTATGTATGATGTTTCTGGGGGTGGTCTTTGACTCCAAGGTGGGCAATTTAAAATGGCTATATAAGGGCGGGCACACCTTGGTTCGGGGTCCTCCTCCTTCCCCTGCGTGTGAAGGGGGCACCCTGTTGCAATGGTTCAATAAAGATCAGGCTTACAAGCTGCTTTGCTTCTCAATATTCTCTGGTTGGCCTCTGTTTTTTCCTCTGACCGATGGAGAACCTACAAAGGACTCTATAAGGGCTCTTGTGTCCCCCATAAGGGAATAAGGGCAGATTTTCATTTATTACACTGTGCAGAGCAACAGAGGTGTCAGCAAGGGGTCCAAGACTCTGGGGGTCATCCTTCGCTGGTGTTGTGTGCTAGCGCAACTCACTTACCTGTCCCTGTTGGGTAACCGGCCTTCCCTCCGGCACCACCGTACACGCCGCCCGGCCCAACACCTGGAACCACAAAGAGAAGTCAAGTCTTCAGGGGAGAAGAACCGCCCAATGCAAAGCCCAGAGGAAATTGGCCGGGTGTTGGCGATGTGGGTTCCAAGGATCAGAGACTTTTTGTTGTGCTTTTGCCCATCCCCAGATTGCTTCAGAGTGATGTGGTACAGTCCCCTCCTCCTCCTTATTGATGCAAAGAACTAGACGTCTACACTGAGATATTGGTGCCAGCATCAGCTCTGCTTCTCAATCAAGGGACGTCTATGGGATTGTAGTTTTGAATGGCAACTGACAGAGTTTCCGAAGGGGGTTCAAAATCCCCCCTCAAAAAGTGCAGTCCTCACTCAAAAGCCACAAGAGTGAAACAGGTTTCAAACCGACTAGCTGAAATCTGTAGCACTGAGGTGCCTGCACAGCCAGCCTCATTTGTGGTACCCAGAGCCGAACCTTGGAGAAGCCCATCCCAAACATAGATCCATGTACTTTCAGCCCCCCAAATGCACCCATTTCTCTCAGTCCCTCCACACCTCCCCCAGGCCACAAGCTAGGCACTTGAGACCAAGAGAACTCACCTCCATAAGGCCCCTTCCCAGCGCCATATGGGAGGCCATAATAGCTACCTGGAAAAGAAAAGAAAAAAATCATAATGTGAGCCTAAGGAACTGCATGCCACTGCCTCACTGAGCACAGAATGGCCTTTGGTTACCCGCCTACTAGAGCTACTTTCAGTCTGGATTTGATATCAGGGGTTAAACGTGGGACCCTTCTGAATGCAAAGTGAGTCCTTAACCCCTTAGCAGAAAGTTAATTCAGCAGAGCCAGTTTTTAATATCTTTATTAATCCCGCCCCCCAATGGCTGAGATGTTAAAGGGATGGTTTGCATTTGTGCTAAAAGCCATGGCTAGCTGCCTTAGAGATAGAAGCTGTCCATCTGAATACATTTAAACAAATTAACAACAGAAATGAGATGGCCTTTCACCAGTGATGGGAACCTCAGGCTCAGAGGCTCTCCCAACCTCACTATCTGGCTCCCTAGACTTTCATCAGGCCACACCCCCTCTCTCCAGGCCACACCCCTTACCGACCCTGCTAGGCACCCTCTTTGAGTGATTTTTCCTAGCTAGGATCTGCCCTTGAACCCTGTTAATCCTTTAATCTGTTGGGAGCCGCCCAGAGTGGCTGGAGAAACCCAGCCGGATGGGCGGAGTATAACTAATAAATTATGATGATGATATTGTTTCTTACTTATCTGCACAAAGGAGTGTGTGTGTGTGTGTGTGTGTGTGTGTGTGTGTGTGTGTGTGTGTAAATGTAAAAACAAGCCTGGTGTTCAAAGGTAGAACTACTATTATCAGTGCTTTTTTCTAAAAAAATGTTTAGGGATACTCTCATTTTGACTCAAGAAAATCACCATTTTATAGTTCAAATCAGGGAAAAATAAATATATTAAATAGACAAAAGTACAAAGATTCACAAAATGTTTAGGGGTATGCGTACCCCTGTGTCCCCCCAGAAAAAACCACACTATCCATTAATTAAAATTAGCCTTTAATTTTAAAACCCACCATTGGTATACGGCCCCCGGAAGGCCGCTTAGAAGGGAATGTGGCCCCTCAGGTGAAAAAAGGTTCCTCACCTTTGCCTTTCACATTTGACACGAGCATTACAGCCCTTTATTATAGGAACCCAAACCGCCACCTAACAGCTCTGCAAGCAAGGGTGGGTTTTGGTCCCATTTTACGGAAGCAGAACTGAGGCCGGGGCGGGCGGTGACCTGCACGAGTCACACACAGTGAGTCAACAGTCTCAGACAGGACTCAAACTCAGAGCCTGGTTCGCTTGCCAAAAACAAGAGGTGAGGGGAGATATGTCTCGCGTTCTTTCGATCGTGTAAAGAGGACCTTCTCAGAATGGGGTTTTCAACAGCAATTTGGTTCTGGGTGTCGGGCTCACCAGGGAGTTTGGGTGCCTTGATGGGATAGCCCAGTGGGAGCCCAGGCTGCTGTCCTCCAAAGACTCCGAAGGCTAGAACAACAAAGGAAAAGAAAATGAGGCTTCCCACAGTGGAACCATTCTCACCCCCCTACTCCACCATGGTGGGCCGATCTGTTTCCCTCCCGGCTCTGTTGGGAATGGGGCACATGCATAGGTGTGTTTTGATAACCTACGAGAGAGTCCGTTGACAGCTCCTCCTCCTGCCCCTGAAAGGAAAAGAGATAATGATCAGTGGCTGTCCTTGCTCACAAAGGACTAGCATCATGATACATGGTGGTCAAGACATTTCAATGCAATCGGCAGAAGGCTTGAAGTGTTGCAAGATTTAGTGCAGGCTTCCTCAACCTCCGCCCTCCAGATGTTTTCAGACTTCAATTCCCATCATCCCTAACCACTGGTCCTGCTAGCTAGGGATCATGGGTGTTGTAGGCCAAAAACATCTGGAGGGCCGAAGTTGAGGAAGCCCGATTTAGTGCTTAGTGTCAGATGAGGACCTGGGAGAGAACAGGGTTCAAATCCACACACAGCCATGAAGCTCCCTAGGTGACTTTAGGCCAGTCTCTGTCAGCCTAACCTACCTCACAGGGTTGTTGTGAGGATGAGGAGAACCTTGAGTTCCTCAGACGGAAGGTTGGGTATATAAATGCAATGAATGTGAAATACATTTATTTTCTGATCACACATAATAGTTTTTATTTAAAGCTCATTTTGGCCAAAAGAGTGGATTTCAAAGTGCAAGAGACCTTTGGTCCTCCAGATGTTGCCAAACTACAACTCCCATCACCATCCCTGGGTGCCTGGCCTGATCCAAGCAGGGTCTTCTGGTATTCTTAAGTAAGTACTACAGTCGGAGTTCTGTAGTAGTGAGCATTCATCATGTGTGAAATGGCCCATATTCTAGTGCAAGGGTAATCAACATGGTGCCCTCCATATGTTGTCAAACTACAACTCCCATGAGCCCTGACCATTGGCTCTGCTGGCAGTTGAGGTCCAATGACATCTGGAGGCACCACAATGGCTACGCTTGTTCTAGCAACCGGCCGGCTTGAGAGTCGGGTGCAGGAGACTTCCTACCTATGAAAACTGCCATAATAATTTGAGAAACAAAGCCCATCTGAAGGTGACAAACCCCACCTTCTCTGGAGCAAGGAATGGATACAAGCCATCATTGGGGAGGGGTAAGAAGGCTTACCTGGAACTTTTGGCTTCACTCCAGTTCCGGTGGGAACGCCAGGCAGGACTCCTACACCAGGATAACGGATCCCTGAAAGAGGAACAGAAGATGCTGGACTCTTTTAAAAACTACAGCAGGGCTTCAAATGTGGGTCTTTATTTGAATGCACTCAACAGCTGAACTGGAAACTGGAAACAGGATGGGATGTGCTAAGAATGTGTTGACTTTTGACACTATGTGCTGAACTGTTGCATTCCTATGGGAGAACACAGATAACTGCCTTATACGGAGTTGAAGCCCTGTGAGGAATGGTTGAAGGAGCTGGGTATGTTCAGCCTGGGAAAGAGGAGACTGAGAGGAGATAGGAGAGCCTTCTTCAAATATCTCAAAGGCTGTCACATGGAAGAGGCAACTAGCTTCTCCTGCTCTGGAGGGTAGGACTCAAACCAATAGTATCAAGTTACAAGAAGGAAGATTCTGGCTAAAGATCAGGAAGAACTTCCTCATCAGAACGGACTCCCATGAGAAGTGGTGGACTCTCCTTCATTGGAGGTTTTTAAGCAGAGGTTGGATGGCTATCTGTCATGGATGCTTTCGCTGAGATTCCTGCATTGATGGGGGTTGGACTAGATGACCCTGGGAGGTCTCTTCCAAAGCCACAATTCTATGATTCTATGAAAGGACTGAACCTGAGACCGTTTGCCTGCAAGGCAGCTGAGCTAAGATTCCAGTCCTCATGGTTCCAGATCAAGGGCAGATTTAAACAGAAGAAGCTGCCTTACCCTGAGAGTCAGACTTCTGGTTCCCCTAACTTGGTACTGACTGGCAGCAGCTCTCCAGGGTTTCCAGCAGGGGACATCCCCAGCTGTACCTAGAGATGGCCTTGGGGACTGAACCTGGGACCCTATGCATGCAAGGTGGAGACCGTATCGCTGAGCTATGACCCTTCTCCAGAATGGGACAGAACTCACCTGTGCCAGGGAGCACACCTCCAGGGAAGACGCCAGGGATCCCCACACCTGTCGAGGAGAGAGCACAAACTGTGAGCACCAGCCATGGAACCAAGGCAGTGGAGCATCTGCAACATGCAGCCTACAGAAATGGCTAGCCGCCTTTGAAGAAACGGGATCAATTTGTAACAGAAAGATAAATCCAACTCCTTTGTTACCCTTGCTAGGAATAATAGATGAATCAAATCAGCATGTATCTCACTGGGAGGTGTTGACATTTTTGCTGCTCGTACAGTAGTTGCTAAATGTTGGTGACCAGCAACAGGTCTGTCAATAGATTCCTGGTATGTTCAGGTATGGTCTGTTGCTGAGAAATTGACCTTCCAGGTCAGGGCGGCTCAAAGCAAGACGAGGCCTTTATCCTACCAGCCATTCATCTCCCATGCAAGACATGGCAATCAATAGAGACAACCTCCCCAGACCATTGGAAACTTCTGGAGAGACCTAGCGGACTACAAATTTAAATATGCTTAATAAACTTAATAAAGTGGTGGTTCCAACTTTAAGCTGTTGTTATGCTTTCCCTCAAATAAATTACAGACTAGCTGCTATTTCTGCTGTTACAGTGGTACCTCGGTTTTCGAGCACCTAGGAAGCCAAACGTTTCGGTTTTCAAACGCTGAAAACCCGGAAGCAAATGCTTCCTTTTTCGAACGTGCCTCGGAAGTCAAACAGCTTCCACTGCATGTTTTTCAATTTTCTCAATTAAACTTGCAGCCATTCCTTTGCGCTTCGGTTTTCGAACATTTCAGAAGTCGAACGGTCTTCCGGAACGGATTACGTTCGAAAACCGAGGTACCACTGTAATTGTATTTTAAATTATGTTTATTATATGTGGAAGAACCATAAAATACTTTTTGTTAAAAAAGAAATGGTCTGAAGGAGTTGATTAAAAGATGCTGAGATAACTATTGTTCAAACTCTTAAGGAAACCCCAAACTGCACCAGTTATGGATCAAGATAATCTGTGCCATATACTTTTTGTATGCTGTTTTCACAAACACATTGATCTTGGTGCCCATTTTCTCCTAACGGATACACTATTTTTGGATACAAAACTTTTGGGTGGAGATCTGCATCACAAAATTCGGAGAAGTGACCATTTCAAAGGACCGGCTGCATTCCAGCTCACACACCAGACTGCACAGATTTCTTCCCTGTCTGCTACAAAAACATCTGGCTCTTCCCCAAGTTGCCCCTGGATTTTAGAGGAGGCAGCCTTCGACCTACCAGGGATTTTGCCAGGCTTGGCCCCAACGCCAGCCCCGCCAGCTCCTGGTTGCAAGACGCCACCTGCGGGAGGGAGACAAAGAAAGAGAAATATCACATCGCTTGCCATAGGATGGCCAGAGAGTCTCAGGCCTGGGAGCTGAATGTGGCTTTCCAGGCCTCTGGGCACTTTCCAAGCTACGCCTCCTCTCTAGACCACACATCCCTCTAGCCTGGTTCTGAGCCCTCCTTGCAGGCCTTTGCAGGGCTGGAATGTAACGTGTGTCACTTCCTGTGCTGACAGGAAACACAGGCAAGGCTGAACTAGATGGGCCAATTCTCTCTCCAGTGTTCCTAAGTCTCTAGGGTGCGAGGAGATCAAGGCAACATACCCTGTGGAAATAGCTTACCTCCAGGTACAGCCACGCCGCCTCCAGGTACGCCTACACCGGCTCCAGGTACACCCACGCCAGCTCCAGGTACGCCTACACCAGTACCTGCACCAGCCCCAGCGCCTGTTTAAGGAACAACACAAACAGAGTCTCAGGAACTCAGACCCTGTTGTCATAGCTGGAGCAGCCATGATCACATTTCAGAAAGCCGCCTTCCCCCTCACCCAAAATATTTATTTTCTGAGTGCCTAAAAGCAGGAATCACTTGTTCTCAGAGGAGCACATTCCCTGTGCTTCTGGGTGAGTTGCTGTCCAGAACAGGGACTCATCCAGAAGCCTACAAGAGGCTGCCTGTTCTGCTATGTCCCTGCACCACAAGCCATGGCATCCTCTGGTGCAGAGAAGGCGTTCGAATAACTAGAATGGGAAGCCTCCTCAAAGGACTGCATCTCTGTATTGCTACAACCCAACATCACCACCGAGGGAATTGCCTCCTAAGGGGAAAATATCAGGAGGGGAGACCAGCAAAGCAATGGCTGCATTGTGGGGCAGAGAGGCAGCCAGAGCGCAGATTCTGTGTCCCACGGAGTAGGCAGGCAGAAGAACCTCCATAATCATCAGAGACACCTGCAGCCTTGACTCACCAGCCTTGGCAGCTGCCTTATAAGCAGCTGCTGCTGCTGCTGCTGCAGGGCTTCCGGCACCTGGGTAGACACCTCCTGGATAGACACCTCCTGGATAGGCGCCACCTGGATAGACACCACCACCTAGGGCAAAGAAGGAAAGCGGCACTGAGTGTCAGGGCTGGAGTCAGATGCAGGTCAGCATGAAAGATGCAGGACTCTGCCATCAGTTGAACTCTTTCTTCAAGGAAATGGCATGCAACTCAGCAACACTTCCAAGCTGGTCTGGCCCCTATGGACCAGCTTCCTTCTACCCCTCCTAAGGTTCTTCCTCTCCCAGACATTTTCCAAGCCATCTGTGTCTGTGTGTTTCTGACCTCTGCTCTGCCCCCATCCTCATTATTCTCTGTGTTATTGGAGACCAGCAGGGAGGGGAGTTTGTTGCAGCAGGAGAGGGAGACTCCCTGGATTCTTTTGCAGCCTCTTGACCCCTTGGAGTCTGAACACCCTGTCACAGGCTCTTCCTGCTCACTAAACCCTGTTGCCCCTACAGCATCCAGTTGCTCCTCCCACTCTGCTCCCTCTGACCTCTCCCCAGTGTCCCGCCACTAATCCCCAGGCTCTGAGCCTTCCTCCTTGGGGGTTTCCCTTGGGGGTTCCCTGGCTGTTGCCTCCCACCACTCCTCTTTGTCCAGCCACTGGGCTCCACTTGCTTTCTATGTGCCCATCTCTTAAACTAGCAAGAGCCATCCAACCTGGTTGCCATCACTGACTCCTATGGGAGCGAGTTCCAGGAGTCCCCCCCAAAAAAAATTTGGGGTCCACCCCCTGGTCCCATAAACTCATCCCCTACCCCATAAAATGCATTATTCAAAATAGCAGCCTGCATGACCCACTAAGGCAGATAACAACACAATAAAATTCAAAGCAGCAACAATTAAAAGCACATTTATTCAAAATCCAATTAGAAAATTGATGATTCAGTGATGCCAACTTTTCAAAATCTGATAGTCATTTTCACCTCCAGCCTCTGTGCTTCCTTCTTTGTACCCACCTAGGTAAGCCCACCCCATGGGCACAATGCCACACACTTTGAGAACCACTAGGTCAAGCAGGCATTCTGCCCTCACATGCAGCACAGGGTGCTGTCCCCATTGCCAGTGCTGAAGTAAGACTCAGCTGCCAGTCTGCTTTTGAGCATAGAATGGGATAAGGTGGCATCCTTCCGCTTTGCCCCAGGCAGCAGTTGTGCTGAGCCAGTGCTCTGCATATCCTCCAAACAATTCCCTCTCACCAGCTTGGGAGCCCTAGAAGAGCCGGTGATGGGTCTGAGATCCCTGCTCTCAGCCAGACCTTCCCAGGAAACAGCTGGAGAGCTCAGGGCAAGCTTACCTAGTGCTCCAGTGCCTCCGACAACCCCTCCGACACCTGCAGAGGAGAAAAGAAGCCAGGGCGTCAGAAGTCCTGCAGTTGGATCAGCCCACAGAGGACCTATCTAGCCTAGCATCCTATTCTCACAGTAGCCACCAAATGCCATAAACACAAAAGCCTTATCCTTTCCTGTGGTTTCCAGCAGATGGAATTCAGAAGCATCAGTGCTTCTGATCATCCTGGCTAGTAGCCAACGATAGCCCTCTTCTCCCTGAATTTATCCAATCCTCTTAAAGCCATCTAGGCTGTTCACCATAACTGCCTCCTGTGGGAACTGTGGGTTCCACAGTTTAACTATGTGTTGTGTGAATCACAGAACCACAGAACTTGAAGGGACCCCGAGGGTCATCCAGTCCAACCCCCTGCAAATGCTGGAATAAGAAGCCCTTCCTTTTAGCTGTCGCAAATCTTCCAACATTCAGCACCATCTGATGTCCACAAGTTGCAATGTTATAGGAGAGAGGGAAAAAACCTTTTCCCTATCCACTTTCTTGAGGTTGTGCATCAGTTTATAAAGGTCTATCTTGCTTTCTTTTCCTCTAAACTAAAAATCCCCAGAGGCTGCAACCACTCCTCACAGGGGAGACATTCTATCCCCTTGCTGTTTTCCAAACCTTATCCATTTCCCACCAGCCCCAGAAGCATGGGCGTAGCCAGGGGGGCAGGGAGAGGCAGCTGCCCCCCTAAATAAATAAAAAAATCAATAAAACACATAGCAAACTGAGGTTCTGCCCTCTCCCAGCAACAAAAGGCCTGCTCCGCCCCCTAACAAAAATCCTGGCTATGCCCAGTGGCCAATCATGATGTAGTCAACATCTGGAGGGCCACAGATTCCTCCCCTCCCTGGTACAGAAGCTGGGGAGAGGAGTACACAAGTAAGCCCACTGGGCTGCCTCTTCCTCCTCCTCTCCCCATTTAGTAGCCCCAACAAGAGAGGAGAGACCATGTCAGTCGCAAAGAGCATCAGGGGAAGTGGAGATGGCCACTTACCTGGTTTGGGGGGCTTTGCTCCTGCTCCAAATCCTGGGGAGAAAGGGAGGCATCCAGTACAGTTAGATGAGCGCCAATGTCAGGAGAAGCGTCCCCAAAAGCAACAGTGGGCAGAGCAAAGGATTGGGGCACTTGCCACTGTATGGTAGGCTGCACCCAAGCCCCATGGCAGTCAGAAATTCTCACACCCACAAAAACACACACTACTTTCACAGTCATCCAAGCAAGCAAGAGGCAACCTCTCAGGTCAAGAACCCATCCCTGCCAGGCAATACAACTCCAGGTAGGTGCAGGGCAGATGAGGGTCTCAGGGGCCACATAGAGGGCTGCATCCAGCACCCAGGCCTGAAATTCCCTGTCCTCACACTTCCCTAATGTGAACTAGATTGGTGGACATAAAGAGAGACAGGGCCTTCGTGGTGACTGGCCCCATTCTGTGGAATTCCCTCCCCAGAAAGGCAAACATGGGTGCTACCCTGAAGACTTTAAAATGGACTTTGAAGACTCCCCACTCACATTTCCCAACTGTCTGATGCTAAGGTCCAAAGTATATCATGGGCAGCCAACGTGACACCCTATAGGTGCTATTTCCAGCAGCTGGTTTTCAGAAGCATTGCTGCCTCCAAGTATGTAGGCAGAGCATAGCCATCTTGGCTAGTAGCCGTCAATAGCTTTATTGTCCTCCATGAATTTGTCTAACCCTCTTTTAAAGCTGTCTAAGTTGGTGGCCATCCCTGCCTCTTGTGGGAGGGAGTTTCAAAGTTTAACTATGCAATGCACGAAGAATCATGGAGTTGGAAAGGGACCCTGAGGACCATCTAGTCCAACCCGCTGCAATGCAGGAATATGCAGCCATCCCTTATAGGGATCGAACCTTCAACCATGGCATCATCAGCACCACCCTCTGACCAACTAAGCTACCCAGAAGTCCTTCCTTTTGCAGGTTCTGAATCTTCCCTTGTTCTCCTTCGTTAGATGTCCAGGAGGGCCAGCCTTTTGAGAGATGGAGGAAAGCTTTCCTCTACCTGCTTTCTCCATGCCATGCATAATTTTACAAGCTCCTCTTGCTCACCTTAGTCTAAACTAAAAAGTCCCAAATGCTGCAACCATTCCCCGTGGGGGATTTGTTGCACCTCCTCAATCGTTAGGGTTGCCCTTTCTGATCCTTGGTTCAGTTTAGGTTCAATGCAGCTGTCCTGAGAAGTAGCCACTGATCCATGGGTGAAACAGGGGAAAGGACCACCACCTATGTTCCCTGCCCCATGCATTATCTTCTAAACCGTTCGGTCGCTCAAGCGCAGGAGGCAGAGAGCATCCTTTCCCTCCTCCAGGGACTCACCTGCCCCACCAAGTCCTCCTACGCCAGCAGCTCCTGTAGGGATCAAGACAGTTGTCTCAGGAGACCCAGGAGGGGCCCTCAAACAGCGCCTAGCCATCACAAGCAGGCTTACACAGCACCCATCACTGGTGCTGATGGGAACTGAAACTAGCCTCAGCACCAGCAAGCGTAGCTCAGGGGTGAGGATGGGAGTTGTAGTTCAGCAACAATCAGGGGGCCAAAGGCCTCACCCGCTGGAAATGGTGCTATCAGTTGTAGCATTTACTGTTGTTGACTCACAGTTTGTTGATTGATTGATTGATTGCATTTATAGCCCACCTTTTTGGCCAATGAGCTCAAGGCGGCATACATGGTCCCCCCCCCATTTAATCCCCACAAATTACCCTATGAGGTACGCTAGGCTGAGAGGCAGTGACAGGCCCAAAGTCACCGAGGGAGCTTCATGGTGGTGTGGGAGATTCAAACCCTTGTTTCCCAGGTCCTAACCCGACACTCTGACCACTATACTGCACCAGCTCTCATTGACTGATTATGCATTATTTTGAGATTGCGTTTTAAGACGATGCGATTCCCCCTGGGACGCTTAGGGAGAGGGTGTGTCAGCAGGATCAGAAATTAATCAGCCAGACAAATGGAAGAATGCATGCATGAATTCCACAGGGCAATGCGTTATCTCGCCCCATTATTCCTGTTTGTGACCCTTTTCTTGCAAGAAAGGGGCTTTGAGAAGGGTGGCTGATTGCGGGAAGGGACAGAGAAATTCCACACACAAATAAAATCGGGTGGATTTGGTGACACCTGTAACACAAAGATAAACACAGCAGGTAGTAGCACCCCCTTACCTGGGTAGTAGCCTTGCCCGGGAACTCCAACGCCAGCACCTGGGACCCCTGGAAAGGAAAGGAGAGTTTGATTGGCTCATAGCTGGTGAGGAAGGGAAACCCCATTCGTGCCCATCCAAGACAAAAGTATTGAGAGGCTTAGAAGACTCCCTTGGCCTCCATCTTCCCCCCGCTCCCATCTTCCTGCTGGGTAGTAAAAGGGCTCAGGGCACAAGTCCAAGGGCGATCTGTCAAGGGTTCTTTAGCTGTGATTCTTGTGTCATCGGGGGGGGGGGTTGGGCTAGATGGCCTTTGGGGTTCCCTTCCACCTCTACAATTCTGGGATTCTATGAATCAAATTCGCAAGTGTGATCTGCTAGTTTCCTGGATGCATAAAGAGGAATAATTAATGCGGCAAGTATCGTGTTAAGATCTGTGCTCTCTCTTTTGCACAACCCGCCCCCACCATCTCTGGCCTGTGTCAGCAGCTGCTCCAGTCACTGACAGCACTTTGGCTTTCCGGGGTGGAATCCTGCTTTGCCTCTGACCCTCCGTGAGGATTGCGCAACCGTGCCCTGAACAGCTCACCCTTTGTTTTCATGTTGCCTTCTTCCCCCCTCTCTCGCCCTCCAGTCCAGCCAATACGCCTTCCTTGCTCCTCCCCTCTTAAATAAACACTTGTGTTTAAGTTCAACATGCTTTGCCCTGGGAGTCGAACAACAGAGCTGACCTTTTCTCAACCGTCTGATTGCGGAAGGGCTCTCTCCGGGCCAAGGAGCTATTGGTGTGGCTGGTGGGAGCGCAAAGATGCTCAGCTGGAAGCAAAGCCCTGGGAGAAACTGAATTGTCTCCCACATAGAGCTCCCACATAGAGCTTCGTTTGAGACGGGGCTCAGCCACAGAGCCCGTTTGCAATGCCACCCCCAGCCTGTGCCAAGCAGGCTCAGAAAAGGCCAAGCAGAGCAGCCTAAGGGGATGGAGCGACTCTCCTCCAAGGGAGTTTTTCATTGAGAGAAAATGTAAGAGGCAACCTGATAGAAGTTTATAAAAGCATGCATGTCCTTGTGGATGGAGGAATGTTAACGTATATAAAATTGTACACATGGTTGATTTAAATAAGTTATTATTGATTATGTATACCCAATGTATCAGCCGCCTGGGGGGTTTCACTCTTTGTGTTTGGTTGTTGGTAAAAAAAATAATAAATAAAAGCATGCATGTCATGGGGAAAGTGGATAAGGGAAAGATTCCCCCCACCCCTCTCGTGACATTGGACATACAAGGAAGCTGGGTGTCGGGAGATTCAGGGCAGGTAAAAGAAAGCACTTTGCACGCAGCATATTGTTAAACTGCAGAACTCCCTCCCGCAGGAAGCAGTGATGGCCACCGTCTGGGCTTTAAGTAAGTATTGCACAAATTCATGGGGGAAAGGGCCTATAGATGGCTGTTGGCCAGGATGGCTCTGCTCTGCCTCCACGAATGGAGGCAGCAAGACTTCTCTGTGCCCGTTGTGGGAAACTGCAGGAAGGAAGAATGCGATGGTGCTCAAATGCTGCTTGTGGGTTCCCCGGAAGAGACACCCGGTTGGCTGCAGTGAGAACAAGATGCTGGACTTGCTGGGACTCTGGCCTCATCCAGCAGGTTCTTCTGAAGTAGGAACAAGAAAGAGGATTGCTCCTGAGCACAAGCAGAGTGCTTCTCTTTTGCTGCAACAAAGGGAGGGGACCTTTTGTCAGCCCAGGGTCTGGGGCTCCAGCTAGGGACCTTGGAGGCAGCAATGCTTCTGAATACCAGTTTTGGGGAGCCACAGGAGGTGACAGGCCTCTTGCGCTCAGATCCTGCATATGGGTTTGCCACAGGCATCTAATTGGCCACTGTAAGAACAGGATGCTGGACTAGATGAGCCATGGGCTTGATCCAACAGACTTCTTATATTCGTATTTCTTGAAAGGGCTTTTTAAAAAGCCAGTCTCCCAAGCTGAGTTTTCAGGTCATGGTTGGGGGAGATCTGTGGGGGTCTCCAGGTGTTTGGTGGATTCCCAGCTCTTACCATCAACCCCGAGGCCAGATGCCAGGAGCTGGAGTCAAGCACATCTGGATCCCCCTCTCCAGATGTTGCCCATCTTTCCTGTAGGTGGACCACATGGCGTGACATTGCTTTGCTTGTATACAGAAAGAAATGCAAACCACACAGTTGCACACATCAATCTCTTTCCTCTAAAGCTTTGAACATTCTGTTAACAAGAGAGAAGGCTTTTCCTTTTCCTTTAAAAGAGAGAGAGTCAATCTAACGCAGATCTGGCTGTAGTTACGAAAGAATGGCAACACCCAAATATATCTGCTCTCTGGATAAGTTGTGAAGGGGTAGCAAAGAAAACTGGAATTTTCTGCCCATGTGCTCTTTGCCTCAAGCAGGCATCTCCCCTTTCCTGCCCCACCCCCAATGACAATGATTTATTATGGGATGGCCACTAGGAAATCTGGAGAGTGCCCTTGCCAAGTAGGGAGAGCAGCAGCAGCTGTCAGAGTGAGGAATTAGACCAACCTACCCTAGCCTGGGGCCCTCTAGATGACTTGGACTACATAATACCCATTCATACACTTTGGAACTCCCTGCCTCTTGATACCAAGCATGTACCATTTTCTTTTCTTTTTTAATAATATTTTTAATTGGTTTTTACAAGAACAAATTCAAAATAATAAAAAGAAAAAAAAACTTTCAACATATCCATATATGAGATTCTCTGAATCTTGTGCCCCTCCCCCCGTCCCCTGCATGGGTCCTTAAAATGTTTTTTCTAAAACTACGTATTACGTTCTCAACAATTTTTATCTCTCTAAATTATCCATACCTTTCGTTCCTTTACAAGTTATTTTTAAAGTCCAGCTAAGGTTTTAATTTGTTTACAATGGTCTCCTAAGTAAATGAATTTCCCCCATTCCTTTTTAAAGTCGTGATCTTCTTGATTCCTGAGTCTCCCATTCAGTTTTGCCATTTCAGCATAGTCCGGCAGTTTGGCTTGCCATTCTTCCCTAGTCGGGACTGTTGGTTCTTTCCATCTTTGGGCTAGTAGCATCCTTGCAGCTGTTGTCACATACATAAACAGTCCAGGTACCTTTTTCGGTGCCTCCTAACATTTTTGTTTAGACAAGCCCACTCAGATGTTTAGAAAATTGATGAGAATTTTAATCTGCTTCCAGTACTTAATCTGCTATTGTTATTTTAACGTTCAGAAAGTCTTAACTTTTGTTGTTAATTTTTCTTACGGATAAGTTCATCGTTTTATCTTTTTGTAAACCTCTTTGAGAGGGTTGCGGGTTTTTTGCAATCAAGCAGTGTATAAATCTTAATAGATAAATAAACAAATAAATCTCCCATCAGCCCCAGTCAGTGTGGTCATGTGATACTTCAGCTGGTGGGAACACAGCTCCCTGTTGATGAGGTTGGAGGATGTTTCAGTCCAAAACATCTGGAGGGGCCTCAGATACATAGAATCATAGAATACAGTTCTATGAGTTGGTGGGGTACCCAAGGGCCATCTAGTCCAACCCCTGCAATGCAGGAATCACAGCTCAAGAATCTCTGACAGGTGGCCTTCCAAACTCTTGTTGAAAAGCCTCCAATGAAGTCCACTACCTCCCAAGGGAGTTTGTTCCATTGTCAAACAAAGGCCAAGTTGGGATGTGAAGAGGTTTAATTTTTTAGGGGGTGGAAAAATGAAGGACTCTCTCTCTCTCTCTCTCTCTCTCTTTCTTTCTCTCTCTCTCTCTCTCTCTCTCTCTCTCTCACACACACACACACACACACACACACACACACCTTCTCAGCATCCCCCTAATTAGCTAATTCACACTGGGGCCATTCTCTGAAGATTGTTTTCCCTCTCTTCAAACCCTGGAAAAGACAGTCAGTCAAAGGACAGGGCCCTCTCAATCTCCCCTCCCCATAAGCCCAAGCAACCCCACTGAACCTGCACCCAAGGGAGATGAGGCAACTGAGCGAGGACTCACAGATGGCTCAAGCAAGCGAGTCAAGCTGTGCATTGGCAGCAAAACCCCAATCCATCGCCAAATCAAAGTTGTGAGCCACAGTGCGACTAAGAGCAGCAGAGGAGCCATGCCCAATCTTGCACCCACTACCTCCCGCCTTTGAGCTTGGAGCGTATTTTCATAAGCTTCATAAAAATCACAGAGTGTCTCACAGAATTTCCATAGCACTTCCCCCTCCCCCCCCCAAAAGCAGAGTTGCATGCTTTATCGTAGCAATTTCACACAACAACTGCAAAAGGTAGGCTACAATACTTGGGAGCATGCAAAGAAGGCTTGAGACTGAGGAATCAGCAGCGCCTCCTAGGGAGGTGGTTGTGAAGATGATTCAGTTGGAAGGGACCTCCAAGAGTCATCTAGTCCAACCCTCTGCAATGCAGGAATCACAGCTCAAGAAATAATAATAATAATAATAATAATAATAATAATAATAATAATAATAATAATTTTATTTATACCCTGCCCTCCCCGGCCAGGGCCAGGCTCAGGGCGGCTAACACCAAATATGATTTACAATAAAATGCAATAGAAAAACAACAACAACAAACAAACAAACAAACAAACAAACAAACAAACAAACAAAACAGTTAATTAAAATACGGCTTAAAATGCAGCTTAAAATGCAGCCTCATTTTAGTAGAAGCCCATAATTCAAGGCCATAAAGGGAGGAAACATCAGATATTCACCCAAGCCGGCTATCCATGCTGGTCCTACATGGGCCAGCAAAAAAAGCCAAGGGAAAATTTATATACCAAATCTCATATAAGGGGTCAGAGTGAGTCTAAGCCGAAGGCCAGGCGGAACAGCTCCGTCTTGCAGGCCCTGCAGAAAGATGTCAAATCCCACAGGGCCCTAGTCTCTTGTGACAGAGCGTTCCACCACATCGGGGCCAGTGCTGAAAAAGCCCTGGCCCTAGTTGAAACCAATCTAACCTCCTTGAGGCTGAGGACCTCCAAAGTGTTGTTATTTATGGACCTTAAGGTCCTATGCGGGGCATACCAGGAGAGGCGGTCCCGTAGGT